CTAACTATATAATTTATACATAACTCTATTGTGTTTCTTATTCCTGTGATATTGATATTCGCCATTATTTCTTTTTATTCATTCCCTCTCAGGTGCTAAGGCCCCCACATAAACAAAGTACAAAATAAAGATATTTATAATTAGTACAAAATATAAATATGTAAATAGTACAAATATAGATATGCAAATGGTATGACATAAAGTACAACAAAATAAGGAACACAATAGCAGGCCCCCCTCCCCCTCCCTTAATAAACCTATTTTATTTTAAATTACAAAATGTTATTTTTATCTCTCATCTGTTTTAGGATGCAATTGATAATCGGCCTAAAGGGGGAGGCAAGCTTCTTGGAACTGGGGGAGGCAAGCTCCTTCGGTCCGAGGGCGTCAAGCTTGATGAACTGGACGAACTGGATGGGGGAGGGGAGAAGATGATGGTTTATGAGGATATTACTAGTTTATGCTTACCCAGTCTTCAATCCTCCTCACCAGATACTTTAGATCCTTGTAGTTCTACCTCACACACAATACAGGTACTGTATACCCGGTCTTCAATCCTCCTCACCAGATACTTTAGATCCTTGTAGTTCTACCTCACACACAGTACAGGTACTGTATACCCGGTCTTCAATCCTCCTCGCCAGATACTTTAGATCCTTGTAGTTCTACCTCACACACAGTACAGGTACTTTATACCCAGTCTTCAATCCTCCTCACCAGATACTTTAGATCCTTGTAGTTCTACCTCACACACAGTACAGGTATTGAACCTAGTTTTGTATTTGTTTATAGACTTGTGGCCCAACTTTTCCATGAAAGAAAAAGCCCGCTATAAAATAAACAAGTCAGATAAAAAGGATCAAATTATTTTGAAATGAGTTTTAGGATCGAGTGGAATCTGGATTTTAGATTTTTCCATCAAATTCTCTATTTCCAGGACTTGTATCTTAAAACTTAATTAATTTTTCAATGAAAATAGCTGATGAAAATGAAAAAAGGGGGTGAATTAAATAATTAATATTATGATTTTTTTTTTAGGGAAAGGAGGATGTTCCAAAGCGGTTTTGTTTAGGTAAGTTTATTAATATTGATATTTTTGCAATTCTTTTTCTACTGCTTTTGAAAATTGTGCCATTTATGATTCACAATAATCTGTGCAAGAAACAATCATAACGATAACTATGCTTTCTATTGGAAAATTTGATCTTGCCGCCATTTTCTTTCTCAGTTAGCTAAGCTTAATTGAACTATTTTTACACATTCTGTGAACTCTTCCTAGTATTTGCCAAGGTATTAAAATGTTTTATATTTTTATGTTTTAGTTTGTTTTAACTTCGAAACAATAAAGGGGCTGTAGACATAATTTCTAGCGACCACCCTATATTCATAGTCATTTATTTTAACAACGAAACCTCTATAAACATTTGTCTGATTCAAGGTGAATGAGATTTTTTTTACTGTTCAGTGTACACTGTACAGTGTATTGTTTTTCAATCGTGTGATTTCCTGCAAAACGATTGAGGATTTTTTTTAACGATTTCTATCTGAAATGCATATATCGATCTGACTCCAACATTCCACGTTATGTAGGAAGTGTCATACTACTAATTTTAATACAATTTATGAATGCTCACATAAACATAAAGAATTGCATAGCAAACTTTATTTATAATAAACTTTATATAAAATCTACACAAGTGGACTAATTCAGGTATTTAATTTTGTTTAAATATCCTGGTAGTGGAACAGAATTAAAACTATAATAAAAACCCTTGATAACAATATTGTGTCGTATTTTGCGGGTTTAGTAATGATTTTATTTTTGAGTCACCAAGGAGAAACGCGACAATAAGAAAAATATTTGATAAAAACTGACTCAAAAATAGTTTATTAAAAAGAATTTATGTATGTTGCAGTTGTTTGTTCTTTATTTACATGACAAAAATAATCTCAAGAACTGATAAGGGTCAACCCAGGCCGAAATATATTTCTAATACATATCTGGGACTAAAAACTAACATCTACTTTATAAATTTACTCTGTAGAGGTTTGGTCCATCAACATCACCGAATTTTAAATAGTTCTTTAATTATTTTGTTATTCATGCTCTGAAATCTAGGATTCCAAAAGAGAAATGTTTTTCTTTTTAAAAATCCGCTAAAATCATATCACTATTGTCAATTTTCTAGAAACTACTCGTAGTTAAGCTAAGGAAGAAAATTGCCAAGATTTGTCGCATTGCCTTGTTCTAAGCCTTCGATTAAAGGAAAACGTCTAAATGTTTATATTCTGAATCATTTTTGGCATTCTTTAAGTTCAAATAATTCATTCTGATTATTTACCTTTGTCATATTTATTTGTAGTTTAAAAGGAGTGTTCGCAAAAAATGAAAGGGGGTATAGGCTTACGGCGAAAAATAAGCGTTTTTGATCGCTTCTTATCTTGCTTCTATATGTTACGTCTAAAAGAAGAAAATTGTTAAAAACGACTTATACTGAAGAACGTAGCGTCAACACAAATTCAGAAAGTTGCAATATTCAACTCGGATCGTAAAAAAATCAATTTTATTCCAAACAAATCATCCAGATATTACAACCAATAATCATCGATAATGTTTCGACGCATTCGTGTATAGTTGATAGTTCAATATATTTCTTTATTATTTATGATCTGAAAGTTACTTTTGAAAACATTTTTTCCTGTTTCGAGGATTTTTGATAATGACGAGACATTTGCATTTTTTCCAGGAATGTTCGAAAATCCAGCGCCAGCGAAATATTGATTAAAAACAACAACATAAACAATATTATGAAATATTAACTTTAGACGAATGCGTTGTAATATCTGAATGATTTGTTTGGAATTTGTATGGAAGTTTTTAGCAATTTTCTTCTTATAGACTCAAAAGATAGAAGTACGACTATGAGCGATCAAAAGCGATTATTTTTTCGCCGTACGCGGACGCCTAAACCCCTGTTACGCTACGGATCGACTATAACTCAAAACTTCCCTAAGAAGAGGAAGAAAGATAATACCTAGGTTCCATTCTGGTAGGCCGAATAATGTATCCAGTAAGATCTAGAATCCTGTATATGACTTCAAAACATTCTTCTGGAACTTAAGATTCACGGGATCAAATCTACACAAAAATATACTACTTAGAATTGACTAAAAGTTACTATAAATATAAAGGTAGAAAAGTATGACAGTTAGGCAGGTAGACAGGTAGACAGGTAGACAGGTAGTCAGGTAGACAGGTAGAAAGCTAGGTAGAAAGGTAAACAAGTAGAAAAGTGGATAGGAAAATCTATATTATTATATATATATATGTTTCAGTATGTGGAGATACCGCCTCTGGATTTCACTACGGTGTTTCTTCGTGTGAAGCCTGTAAAGCATTTTTTAAAAGAACTATTCAAGGTAAATATTTTAAGGGAAACCCATAGTTTTGTTTACTGTCTCTGGTAGAAATGTAAACAAAGCTCGGCCTGAGCAGCACTGCGTTAATGTTTACATTACTCCCAGAACATGCAGTACATTGAAGGAGATAGTGTTATCCTTGCTTCAAACTATTACTTCTTTCCTGATATTATTTTGTCCTGGTTTTTAAACAGCTAATGACAGTTTATGGTCGACCGAAAATTTTATTCTTTCGATCATTTAGGTTTAAGTGTGACATAAATGATTTGCAATTTTATACTGAACCCTGCAGCGAGTGATCAGTATTTTGAACAAGAGAAGGCCTACTTTCTATTTTCAGACTCATTATCATCATGCAGTATGCTTTTAAGCATTATGCATACTTCATTAATACTATAACCTTCCATTTAGGCTTTTTCTCATTTTCTTGATTTGGAGTAATTTCGCTGTAGTTATGTCTGGGAAACATAGATTACGGTATTTGTGGTTAGGGAACATAGATTACAGTATTTGTGTTTGGGGAACATAGATTACAGTATTTGTGTCTGGGAAACATAGATTACAGTATTTGTGTTTAGGGAACATAGATTACAGTATTTGTGTTTAGGGAACATAGATTACAGTATTTGTGTTTAGGAAACATAGATTACAGCATTTGTGTTTAGGGAACATAGATTACAGCTGTCCTGCTTCCGGGGACTGTGAGATTAATAAGAGAAGGAGAAAAGCATGTCAAGCTTGCAGGTAAACACTACTAATATCTCGATGGTAAACACCTAGGGATCTGGTTTCTTTCAAAACAATGGTTTTGGAAATTTGTTTTGAAATAAACAGAAAAAAAGCTTTGAATCCTTATGATCATTTAAGAATGGCAAACTTTTAAAATTTATCAGGGGTGTATATTTTTAAAAATCACCCCCTGTGGGTGTATTTTTATAGATCGGGGGAAAAAGGAAAATTGGAGATAAAAAGTCAAGGTTTCATAGTTTTTAATATTTTTCACCCAAAACTTTATTAATTTTTCCCTTAAAATCATTTATTTTCCACAATTCAGAATATAAATGCCTTACAAAATAACAAATCCAGGGTGGGGGGCGTGATCTTTCTAGGAAACGTATATTCATAAAAATTATTTGATTCTGAAAAAAATGTATTTAAATTTTTTAAAGATTTTTCATCATCACGTTAACGTAATGTTCAAACTATTTCTGTTCTAATTTCATACTTTTTTCCATTTAAAAAAAATAGAAAAGTTGAAAGATAAGAAAAGTATTGACATTTTCAAACAGTCAGGCATTGTTGTGGAAGGGTGTAAACTAGACAAAAACTGAGTCTCAATAATACTTCTAAATGGCAGATAAACATTAAAGAAAGCCAGACAAATTTGCTGCTATATATCATACAAATATACAGATGAGGAAAAGATTTTCTTTACAGACCCTCCCCCCCCCACCGGCCCCCCACATAGATAACGAGTCAAATTCGTTATAAAGTTTGAGGTGTATGAGGTAAACTAGAAAATTAAAAAATAGATAATTTTTGGTGAATTTTATATTACCCATAAAAATGATATTTTTTCTTTAAAAATCTGAAAATTATAAACCCCTTGAATAGTGAAGGTGTATTGTGATATGGATAAAAGGACTGAGAAACTAAGTTTAGAAGTTCTAGAAACTTTATATTATCATTGTCAAAAACAGCCCCAAACAAGTTTTTTTTCCAAACCAAAATATATATGTATACTTTGCTTGTCTGTTTATTTGTTTATTTGTTTGTATCCAATAAACGTCAAAACCTCACATGACCCCAGACGAGGCTAAGCAATGATCCAAAATTTTAAATTGCCTCCAACAAAATTCGATTTTCATTAAATTTGAAAATATACAAAAATGTTGACAATTGAAATAAAGTATGGGCGCGACGCGCACTAAAGCCTAGTTTAAAATAATAATTGATACACTACTTTATAGTCTTCACAGATTAAATTGATAGACCACTAGATGTCATCTTTTCAAGAATTAGGGGCCTTTCTTTCACAATAACCCTGAGACAGAAGCCCAAAGGAGTTACGCGCATGCTGCGTTGAATGACAAAGCAGAGAGAGAGCATACACGTAACTCCTTTGGGCCTCTGCCTCAGGGTTATTGTGAACAAAAACACATAAAATATTATTACTTCTAAACTCTATCACTACAGCTGATCTAGGAAAGATTCCACCGATATTTCACCAATTTCAAACTTGGACATCAGACAAAAAACGTTCTCTGAAACTGGTCTAACGTACTGTTAACCCCGCGATGTTTCTCTTGATCATGATGTTTCTCCTGATGTTGCTGTTGATATTGATGCTTCTCTTTATTATAATGTTTCTCTTAATCTTGATGTTTATCTTGATCTTGATGCTTTTCTTGATCATGATGCTTATCTTGATATTGATGCTTCTCTTGATCTTGATGCTTCTCTTGATCTTGATGCTTCTCTTGATATCTATTCTTTTCTTAATCTTGATGCTTATTCTCTTATTTTTATGCTTCTCTTGATTCATTTGGTGTATAGCAGACAGATATCCTGCTAACTTCCGCCTCTCCTCAGAAATTTCTACAGGATCCCCTTCTAGATCTGCTGCAAATGTTATCTTCATTTTTACTTCATTTTTAATTCATTGTCTAGCTGGTATTCCAAGTTCATCTTCTCTGATCTCTTTTTATGGATGACAAATTATAAGACATCTGTTTTACCATAATGGTTGAGATATAACGCCAGAACCAAAAAGTTATCCAAAAACATTTTGACTGCTTCCTCTTTCAACTTTTCATCTTGGTTTAATATCTCGTTTTTATCTATCTTGAAGCTTTTACAAATAATTTTACTCTTACTCTCTTCTGTAGGAGAATCTGATTCTTGTATATAATTAATCGCTTCCGCTAATGTTTTAACATCATCTTCATGATTTTTTATGTATATAGCTGGTATACTACCTGACTAATTATAATCATTCTCCGGAAGTACTAATTCTTGGCCTGCTTCTTGTTCTTCTGGTAGCATATATTCTACAAGCTCCTCCTTTTCCCAATTCTCCTCTACCCGTACTTTCCCTTTTTAGCACTTCCAGCAGGAATGGGAACTTTCTCTCCATACTTTCGGTATATGATTCATAGTGAGGATTTTCTCTGCTTTCTTTTCCATTTTATCTATCTTCTCTTCCTTATTCATATCTGGGAATGGAGAGTCTGTCACATTACACAACTGGTATACTGTATACTCTGGTACTCTAAACATTCTGGTACTCAATAACATTCTGGTACTATGTACACTAACTTGTTGCTGCACTGTTACTGTTTCTTCTGACACAGTTTCTCTTATTACTCCATTAAACAAGGCAATCACAGAACTTTTCTTCCTTGGAGTCTGTGGCATTTAACTAGGGTTCCTTATTCTTGCTGCTGCTACAACTTTTGCCATGCTCCAATTAACTCTTTAGACCAGTATCAATCCAAAAACAACTCAATCTAGAACTCGCGGTTCAACAGGAATACCATAGTCAATATTTATCCGGATACAACTCTGTCTGTATTCTCAGGTATCTGTCTTACAAAATACAACTCAATCTAGAACTCATAGTTCAACATGAATACCAAAGTCAGTATCAATCTGGATACGGCTCTGTCTGTATTCTCAGGTACCTGTTAAACAAGATACAAACTAATTATAATTCCCAATCTAAAGCGATCTTTTAAGAGGGTGATTCAGGATGCTTCTGGTTTGCTAACCAAGAAGTTATTACTCTTACACCGAATCAAAGCAGAGTTTTTTCCAACTGACCTTTATTTTGAGTTCTATGTTACAGGTTAAGTTGATGAACGTAATTACAAGTTTTGTGTCGTTATATATGTGCGTAGTTAAGCTAATCACAATACAGACTTTGTGTACTTATCCACAAGCAGATTTAGATTTTAGGTCTATATTTATGGGATTTTCTACGGTATTTATTACAATGTATCTAAGTATCAGTAATGTATAAATGTATCTAGGTATCAGAAATGTATAAAATGTATCTATATATCAGAAATGTATAAATTGTATCTAGGTATCAGAAATGTATAAAATGTATCTAGGTATCAGTAATGTATAAAATGTATCTAGGTATCAGAAATGTATAAAATGTATCTAAGTATCAGAAATGAATAAAATGTATCTAAGTACTAGTAATGTATAAAATGTTTCTAGGTATCAGAAATGTATAAAATGTATCTAGGTATCAGAAATGTATAAAATGTATTTAAGTATCAGAAATGTATAAAATGTATCTAGGTATCAGAAATGTATAAAATGTATCTAGGTATCAGAAATGTATCAGGAAAGGGATGCTAAAGGAGGGTGTGAGATTAGACCGAGTACGAGGTGGGAGGCAGAAGTACAGGTGAATTTGACGATTAATTAATTGATTGATAAATTAACTTTTTTCATGAATTGCATTTTATATCTACGAGTAATTATGAGACTATGCATTAATATTATTAAAAAGTTAGCGGACTGGTCACTTAACTCGGATCCAAACAGGGACTTTTAAAGTTTAGATGGATTAGAGATTCTTCATCACAGCAGAACCATTAAAACCTTTGTCTGACTCTAAACATAAAGAGCAAATCTTGTCTTTCTATCTTTGGTCAATTATTTTCTGTTGCGGTTTTCCATAAAAGTTTCTTGCAGATTTATACAATGAAGACAAGGAAAATAATTGCGAGAAAAAAATATTTTTAAGACATTGTTAACTCGATTTCGTGGATTTATTGCTAGTTATTTTTAGACGATTAACCGAAGGAACAGCTTATGGTGAAATAAATTCTACTAGACGAGTATCATTAGAAGGTTAGTTGTTTTGCATTCATATTTATAAAATTAAAGAAAATAATTCTTTTCAAAATGGCAAAATTTAGTATAAAAATGATAATTTTAATTAGAAAATATTTGTTTAGATAATTACATGCTAGAGTGTTTAACAAATAGTGAACCCGACCCAATATCAATATTAGGTAAACTTACTTTTACTAAAACTATTTGAATATTTTGGGCCAAAATATGATAATTTTATGCATAACAAATATAACTTTTTTTTATTAAATTCATGGAACTGTATTTTTTAGCAAAAAAAGGAAGTTATCGTTCCCGTTTTCTAGTTTTATAGTCCCAATTGAGAGCTTTATTCAATTATTACCAGTTTTCACAGTCAAAATTTAGCATAATTCAAAGAATCTCTGTTACTAAAAAGTTATGAGCAACATTTTCTGGAAAATTTTTTAAAATTTCTGAATTTTGTTCAAGTCCGCAAAAAAAATGATGTCACTCAAAATAAAGTTCCGGTTTTGGATTCCCGAGAATTTTAACAAAAAATAACCTTCAAGAAAGAGTACATTTTTTGTTATTGTTCAGACTGTGAGCCTTGTACAAAGTTAGATGAACTGCGTACTGCAGCTGTACTAGCAGATGTTTATGATAGAGAACTTGTTTTAACAATAGGTTGGGCTAAACAGGTAATACAGGTTTAAAGACAGGGGTGTAACTGTACAGTGTATATGGAAAAATGGTGAATACTAGTTTTCAGAGGGTGTACAGTCGTAATGTTGTACGCTGTACACTGTAAGGTGTAAAGTTGTACGTTGGACACTGTGCAGATGTAAAATAGTACGATGTACATTGTACAGGTTAAAGTTGTACGTTGTAACTGTACAGCTGTAAAGTTGTACGCAGTACATTGTGCAAGTGTAAATTTGTACACTTTATATTGTGCAGATGTGAAATTGTACACTGTGCATTGTGCAGATGTAAAGTTGTACGCTGTACACTGGACAGGTGAAAAAAATATACACTGAAAATTGTATAGATATAAATTTGTACGCTGTATACTGTACATGTTTAAATTTGTACGCTGAAAACTGTACAGATGTAAATTTGTACGCTGTATACTGTACAGGTTTTAATTTGTACGCTGAAAACTGTACAGGTGTAAAATTTTACGCTGTACATTGTGCAGATGTAAAGTTGTACAATGTGCACTTTACAGGCGTAAAGTTTTACACTGAAAACTGTGCAGATGTAAATTTGTAGGCTGTACACTAAACAGGTGTAAAATCGTACGTTGTAACTGTTCGGTTGTAAAGTTGTACGCAGTACACTGTGAAAGTGTAAAGTTGTACGCTGTACACTGTAAAGATGTAAAGTTGTCGCTGCACACTGTGCAGGTTTAAAGTTGTACACTGAAAACTGTACAGATGTAAATTTGTACGCTGTACAATGTACAGGTTTTAATTTGTGCAGATGTAAAATTGTACGATGTACATGGTATCGGTTAAAGTTGTAAGCATTACACTGTGCACGTGTAAAGATTTAATTTCGATAAAACTAAAGGGGACAAACAATTTTTTTTTTTTGGGGGGGGGTTATTAAAGTTTTTATAGAAAGCAACAGAGAAAGATAGATAGAAAAAACGAAAGATAGATAGATAGAAAAAAAGAAAAGAATTTATAATTCAAAAAACTTTTGCTTAAAGATTCAAAAAAGGCAAATTTAGATATTTTAATATTATGAGGAAGTCGCAAAAAAAGCACTTGTTGATTGCATGCATAGCTAATTGCTTATCATGATGTTTTTCAAATATTTTTGTGCAAAGATATCGTGCAAGTTTTTAATGGTAGATTTAAATGAAAACCTGCCAAAAATAGTACTTTCAACGGGATTACATTTTACAAATAGAAAATGTAAAATGCCCAGATTATTCTTTTCCAAACATTATCAAAAACATTTAGATACTCCTCTTCTGAGAGATGGGAAAAGAGAATTTACAGTTTAGATCAGGGGCAAATGGAAAACTGTCATGTTTCTGTCTAAGAAAGGTTCAACATTCTAGTATTAAAGGAATTGAGTCTAGTCACGAACTCTGATTTGGTATTATCAATATCTTTGCAACCCAATTTCGTAGTCCTGTGATATTTCAAACCATAAATTTGTTAGATGAAATAATATATGTATGAAATATAAATAGTTTACACTATCAGGTTGCAAAGATATGTGGATTAGATAATTTTGGTTTGGTTTGTGATAAAGACTCAATTCCTTTTGAAGAAAATTTGGTATGCAGTCTGCCTCATCTTTAGATCAAAGTATTGTACACTAACCATAACTCTTCTATTAGCTTGAAAAGTGGTTAATTTTGATCATTTCCCCAATATGTTTCTGCAAATGGCTAAATGCGCAAGTCGCCTTTGGATAGAAACTCTAATTAAAAATATCTAATTAGTTTCCACGAGGAGAAACTTGAATCTTGATCACACAGATATCTAGATAACACCTTGGGTTTTGGTTTTAATTCACCACTTGCTTATGCTTTTTTGTAGCCTTGGACATGTACATTTTAAAACTGCAAATTGATCTTTAATTAAAAGGAGTTGTTGACAAAATACTGCTAGATTTTGTTGACAAAATACTGTTAGATTTTCCCTTGCTTATTTTATTGTGATTAAACAAACTATTTATGGGTGCCGTAGTGTATCGGATATTCCACTCTATAAATTGAAATTACTTCTACAGCCCCTGTATAAGAGAAGATGGATGACATATTTCTTAAAGTATGAAATAAAAAAATCTAAATTTAGTTTGCCTCGAATTTGTCCACTGGGCTGCACACTGAGTACAAAGTGCTCACTGTTCAGTTTGCCTCAATAAAAAGTATTTTTCAGAAATAAAATGCTTTCATTATTTTTGTTGTTCTCAGATTCAACTTGAAAATAACTAAAACATGCACTGCCCTCAACTTGAGGAGGGGGGGGGGGTAAAGAGTAGAAAGGGGACATAAAGAGAGGGGGTAGCTTATTCCCTGATTACCCCCCCCCCCCTGTATCATGAGGGATAGCAAATGTTGGAAAAATGCATTTTTGTTAAATAGCTTTAAGCTTTGGAATGCATGATATTGCTTAATACTATTGAATGAAATTTCTTGATAAAAAATTAGAAAGAACTTTTTTATGTTTGTTTAATAAAGTTTAATAAAGTTTTAAAAAGTTTAATAAAGGGGTTTTCGTAAAGAATGAGACTCTAATGACAAGCTGAGAAACATTGAATACGATCCTTAGGTTGATTTTATCTTCCAACTAAAAATGTCTTTTATATAAATAAAGTTGTAATCTCTATTTGTCTGTCTGGGTGTTTGTTTGTTTCTCCGATCATAACTCAGGAACCACTGGACCGATTTGCATCAAATTTTGATTGGGGAACTCGGGAGAGCCACAAAAATGTTCTTTGCTGGGTCAAATTTGAGATTCTAAGATGAGTGGGTCGACTTTTATAGTTTGAGATTCTAAGATGAGTGGGTCGACTTTTATAGTGAAAATTTAGTTCCCCAGTAAAAATTGTCGGGTGCGGGTAAACGGCGGGATTACCTATGAGTCGACCCTGGGGAACATAAAATAACTCATTTGGCAGAAACAAATTTAGGAGTACAGGAACCGTGAATGGAAGACAAATATTTTAAAAAGGCCATAACGTCGTCTTTGAGCTCTTGTTCTTTAGTGGTAACCCATCATGAAGAATTATTATGGATAGACTTAGAACAAGAGATGCATGTTCAATAGATTAAAATTGTGTTCCTGGGGTTTCTAATCTTAGATTAACAGCTTAAAAGTTTGCAAATCCGTTGCATTTAGTTGAGATCACTAGACTTACAACACTTATCCTACCTTTTCTAGACATCTTGACCACCATTTTCTTTTTTTCAGGTTCCCGGATTTTCTGAACTTAGTTTAAATGATCAAATGAAAATGTTACAAAGTAGTTGGACGGAGGTAAGAAAGGAATTGAGTTTTTGCCACACACACTGGTTTTATAGTTCCTATATCTTTGCAACCCGATGTCGTAGATCTTTAATATTTCAAACTCTGAATTCTAATAGATCAAAAGTCTATGTTTGAAATATTAAAGGTTTATACCATCAGGTTGCAGAGATATAGGGGTTAGCAAATTTCAGTTTGTGGCAAAAACTCCTTTACTGAAAGTGACGAGCAATTTAAAAAAAATACCTAAAGGTTTAAGAGTTTTTTTAAACCACCACAAAGGTTAAAAAGAACCAAGCTTTTGAAGTGTAGATGCAACAATTTGAAACATCCATTATTTTGGTTTAAGAGAAATATGTTTAAAAACCAAATAAACTTAAATCGCAAATCCTAGCTGGGATGTCGACCGAATAATCCTAGCTGGGATGTCGACCGAATAATCCTAGCTGGGATGTCGACCGAATAATCCTAGCTGGGATGTCGACCGAATAATTTTCTAAATCTATTTTCAACAATTTATAGACTTATTATCCTGGATTTCTCTTAAGCTCTCAAGTTTTATTTTGACTTATTTTAACTCACAAGAATGATAAAGAGGAAATTATTCAGTTACATATTAAATAATCACAACATTTTTTTCAATAGCTCTACAATAAAAGGAGTTAAGAGTATGACTGAAAACCTATAAGATTTTAATCTAATTTTCTTAATTTTGACGTTATTAGGAGGCAATTGTTTCCTCTGCTCTCCTCAAATTAGCCTATTAGGGAAGGTTTATTGATGATAAAATTTCAAAAATTGTCTCCAACAAATTTCAAAAATTCATGAATTTTTTTTTTATAAAGTCCGCTCAACGTTTTTTGTTTTTGTTTTGTTTTACCATGTGTACAAAGAGAAATGGTTTAAAATTGAAGAAGATGGGCGCGAAGCGCTCTCAAAGCCTAGTTCTCCTTAAATTCCCTGTTCACTCCCTTTAAAATCACCATTGTTTTATTTTCAGGTTTTAACCCTAACCCTTGTGTACAGATCTCTCCCTAAACTGGGTCTGCTAAACTTTGCAACAGATTTCAGTTTAACAAAGGCAGATGCTGAAGAGGTTGGCCTTCTGCAGTTCTTCCAGAAGGTTAGTCCTTTGCTTTATCAAGGTTTTTTGCCTTATCTTAGCAAAGTTTTATCTTATCCTAGCAAAGTTTTATCTTATCCTAGCAAAGTTTTATCTTATCCTAGCAAAGTTTTGGCTTTTTCTAGTTTTATTTTATTCTATCAAAGTTTTATTATATTATTTCACAACCTTATGCAATTGTATTGTATTTAATGTTTACAAGTATGTTTGTATTTTGGAATATCTTTATATTTTATTTTATGTTTAATAAATTCTAGCATTAACTCAAATCTACACTATAAAGTTTATAGCAAAATCAAGTTAAAATATTTACCAGGAATTCTCTTAATCCTTCTTTTGATATAAAAACTAAGAAATTTTTGACAACAAATTTATTGTAAACATTTTAAATTTAATGCAACAATTTTTAAAATAATTAAAGAATTTCTTTCTTTTGTAAATGAGTTTGTGATTCACGGTTTTAAATAACTTTTTATACTTTTGCTTTTAAATGCAATTCTGATTTTTTTCTTTGAAAATAAAATGAATTCACAAGAAGAATTAGTTGCTAAAACTTTAGGGAAAATTAAAAATTGGAAAAAAAAAAATTTCTCTCAATTTCAGCGGAGAAAACCCTGAAAAATCATTTGTATCTTTTGAGAGAAATAAATGATTTTTGGAAGAGGTTGGGGGGGGGGATGAAAAAAGTTATTTTTTGACAAAATATTTACCTCTGTGAAAGTTGAAAGATTAAATAATTAAACATAATCAATATTTATTTTAGTTTTAAAATTTTTTATTTTCAGTCAAGTTGCACTAATTCACAAAGTTTGTGACAAATTAATAAAAGCAATAGTAAAACTTTAAGTTTTTAAGTATTTCAAACACAAAACAATAAGACTCATAAACTGTTGAATACAAAAAAGATTTTAAATTGTCCAAAAAAAACATAAAACACAGCAAGTGTGCAGTGGACACAGACCCATCTCACTAAATATGTTAATGTTTAAACTACTGGTAACAATAGTTGCTCTGTAAAAGCATGAACATACAAGTAAAATTGATTAAATGTCGTCTTCCTATTCCAAAAGGTTTATGAGTGTTACAGTATTAATGTAAAGAAAAAGTGTTTTTCTATATTTTTCATTTGGAGGGGGGTCGATGAACAATAAATAAACTATCAATATATTTTTATATTTATATTTAAAAATTTATATATTTTGATATTGATATATTTATATATTTGTATATTTATATATTTATATATTTATATATTTATATATCCCCAATATATGTAGATAACTAATAAACCTGAAGAAACCCGAACATGTTTCTTTTATGTCCAGGTTGTCTTGTAAAGATTAAGAATTTGCATTTATTTATTTTCCTACTTTTTAAACTTAACTTTATAAATTCCAAAACTAAACAGTCAACTTTTTATTTTTCCAATAAGATGGCGTCGGAAAAACATAGATCAATCTGCTAGTCGCCTTATTAGAGACGATTAAATTCCCCTTCTTTAAACGTGAACTGTCCCTTTATATGAGAATAAACCTGCATGGTATTCAATGCCATTTTATTTAATTGAAAATGAACGCTAATTATTTGTTAATTGAAAATCTATCAAAAAGATTGCGATAGAATTGACAGAAAATATTTAAAGCTAGTTTTCCTTAAATTTTCCGATATCCGCCCCTCTTTACTGCTCAGGAGCCCCTTCTTCTTGGGGGGAGGGGGTGTATATTTTAACCATTGATACCTTTTGAAAAGCGATCCAAATATCTTTTAAAGTTAGCTAAAAGTACAATTCTAATTACAATTTAACTTATATATATATATATATATATATATAACACCTTCATCTTTTATTAACATTTGCAACTTTGGCATTGTTAGTTTAAAATTTATCGCATTATTTTGCACAGCTCAACACTCAAAAATTAAACTGAATTTGCATTAAATTATAGATACTGTTTAACATAAATACTATCAAGAAAAGCCAGTTCGACTTCTGCATCTGAATCTTATTTAATCTTATTTTTAATTTCATTGTTCAGAATTCATTGTTCAATTTTTGCATCGGTACGAAAATGCAAAGTTTTGGAAAAAATTTAAAAATGCTCAACTTTAAGATTATTATGGTACAATGAGATTCAAAATAAGAAGACGACAATTAAGCTTATTTATGCTTATTCATGTCACTATGAAGCAAATAGTTTTACCAGTTGCTTGGTAATCAACGGATTAACATTTTCATTATTTTTGCAGCAATCATTTCTAAAATTTTGTACAAAAATATTTTAAAAATCTCTTTAAGATTTAAAATTAAATAAAAATTTATTAATTTTACCTTTAAGTTTTGAACTCAAACATTTTTAAATTTAAATATGCTAATTCATTACTTCAAATCTCTATCTTTTATTAAATAAAAACAGTTTAATCAACTTTACAAACAGTAGATAAGATATCAAAAGTGTACAAATCTAAATTTAGAACAAAATTTTTAGTTTTTTTAGAAATTTGGTTCAAATATATTCAAATTTTCTTTGATTAATCAAGGGTTAATTTAAATTTAAAAATGTTTTTGATTTCGAAAGTTACTCCTTTGTAGACAGAAATTAATATAATTCGTTAATTTAATGCAATCCTTGAGAAGTCCATATCAAGCAAATTTTCACGGTAGCAAATTCAAAATAAATTAAATTGAAATGGTTATGCCATGGGAATCAAATTAATGCAGGTTTATTAAATATTTACGTTTAAAATTTGAGAAATATTTTGTATAATGTCACTTAATACTTCTAGATTTTTAAAAAAGTTAAATTCATAAAATTGTGATTAAAAGGGGATTAAATATAATTACATTGAAAATTATTGTTTCTAAACATTGTTCTAAAATTTCAATGTTGGGGAAACTTTTCCTTCACGAAACGCTTCCTCCAATAAACTTTTCTTTTATGAATTTTTTCCGTCATGAAACGCTTCTTTCCAGTAAACATTTCTTTCATTATACTTTTCCTTCGTGAAACGCTTCCTCCAGTAAACATTTCTTCCATTAAACTTTTCCTTCATGAAACGCTTCCTCCAGTAAACATTTCCTTCATTAAATTTTTCCTTCATGAAACGCTTCCTCCAGTAAGCATTTCTTTCATCAAACTGTTCCTTCATGAAACGCTCCCTCCAGTAAACATTTCTTTTATGATTTTTTCCTTCATGAAACGCTTCCTCCAGTAAACATTTCTTTCATTATAATTTTCCTTCGTGAAACTCTTCCTCCAGTAAACATTTCCTTCATTAAACTTTTCCTTTATGAAACGCTTCCTCCAGTAAACATTTCTTCCAGTAAACTTTTCCTTTACTAAACGCTTCCTCCAGTAAACATTTCTTCCAGTAAACTTTTCCTTTATTAAATATTTGTTCCATTAAACTTTTCCTCCATTAATCCTTCTGTTCATTAAACATTGCTTCACCTTGATCCGGTAAACGTTTCTAAAGAAAAGTTTTCACCACAAAACATTTCATCCATTCAAAGTTTCCTCCCTTAAACGTTTCCCCTTATTAAACATTTTCTCCATTAAAATTTTCCTCCTGAAGATTTCTCCTACATTAAATGTTTCCTCCGCTAAACGTTCTACTCTCTACAACAAATTTTTTTGAAGGAAACATTTTGTGACAACAACTGCTTTTTTTTCAACATAATCTGGAAAACTATTTGTTATGAAATCTGTGTGTGTGTAAGGTCTATTTTCAACATGATCAATTTTAAGAAAGAATTAAAATGTTGAACCGATGATTAGATTATTTTTGGTCGCATTCCCCATTCTTCTTTGAAAAATCCTACATCTTGCTTTCTGAAATACTTTTGAGAAAATCTAAACATCACAAATGTTGTTTCTCAAGCTCTTCTGTTTAGAATTAAAATATAAAACATAGAGTTATAAAAAACTACTATAAAATTAAATACAAATCAAAATAATGCTGAAAGGATAATTATAATTAATTACTACTTTACAAAAACTGTGACATCTTCATGCTTAACCAGCGAGGGAAGGCTCCTAACACCATTTTTCCTTCCGCAATACAAATGACGTCACAACTCAACATTTGTTCTTCCGACCAAACCTATTTTTGTCCGGGCTTTGCTTTTGAGCTTTCAAACGTATTTTTTGTGCCTTATAACTCGTTTTTCAAATTTAGACAACGTCGTGTTTTTCAATATGAGTTGATTTTGTTCAAAATCCATTTTGCTTGAAAAATAAAACGATATTTAAACCCAATTTAGCAAAGAGCGGTGTGCGTCACCTAATCTGATTTCTGTTTACTGTTTAGTGTATATTTCTGTTTACTGTTTAGTGTATATTTCTTTTTAATGTTTAGTTTATATTTCTGTTTAATGTTTAGTGTATGATGATAATAGAAAAGTTGGCAAGCCTAAACCTGTATAGAGAGGAGTACCTTATATTGAAGGTAAAATAAAGGAATACTTAATGAAAATGTTTACAAATAAAGTAAAAAAAATATCATGGGTTTGGTTACACAAATCTTTGAGAAATGTAGCGAGACATATAGAACTTGCAATAAGAAGACGACCGTTAGACTCAAGTTATAATTCTAAATAGTTCAGCGAACATGGCATTTGTTAGTTATAACTAATACAAATAAAACTTAATAAGCTGATTTTTAAGGTGTTATTAAAACTCGTTGTTTTATGACTACATCAAATACACAAATGTATGATTGTCGTTGTCATCTTATTTTTCAGTTTTATTAGCCTTATTGTATAAACCCTGTCTTTAATGCTTATATTTCACCACCCAGCAGTACTCGCAGTACACGTTGTTTGTAAACAAACCTAATGATAAATCCATAGACTAGTTAACAGAGTCCTCTAATCTAGGCCTATACTTGTACTAGCACGAAATGCTAAATTTATACGATATGTTTATAACTGCCATGTAACGGCCACTTGTTCTTGGATCTCTGTACTCTCTTATCTCTGGCTAAAACTATTTAAAATGTTACAACGTGTAATCCTTTTCAATTCTCATTCCCTGCAAGTATCCTTCACGGACTAGGAATTCTAAACTTTTCAAACTTTTTCTATTATTTCATTTGCCCTTATTGTCCAGCTCATGAGAACAAAAATAATTAAGAAAAATAAATCTGAACACCTTACAGAAATCCAACGTATAGAAACCGCTACGTATGGCAACAAGGCGTATTTTCCGGGAGAACATCTATATATAAATTTGGCTTGTCTGCCTGTTTGTTTATTTGTATCCAATTAACGTCAAAACGACTGAACCGATCGGGCCCAAATTTTTGTGGGACATCACGTGACCACAGGGAAGGTTTATGAATGATAAAAATATGTGTTTTAAAGGATTTTAATTTTGTAAAAAAAATTTAATTCTTGAAAATCCGCGAATTTTTTTTTTTAAAACCCGCAAAAAATGTTTCTTCTTTGTTTTAAAATGCAAACAAAAAGAACATATGTTCACAATTTATATAGAAGATGGGCGGTAAGCGCCCTAAAAGCCCATTTTTAATATTTTTGAGAAATTAAAGAATTAGTGTAAAGTAGATATAATTTTTAAAAAATCCTTTTATTTAAATGGTAAAACGGAATTTTATGAAATCATAGCATTACTGGAGATATTTTTTTTATACTTTTAAGAAATTTTTTTCCCCAAAAAATAAAACTGTAGATAGCATTTTTATAGAATATTTTTTTTAAAGTAACATGCAATTTTATGTATAACCATATAATCATTCATTTATGTTGTCAGTACATAATAAAATCTGGGGGACCTTAAACACAATAGAGAGCAGAACAAATGTACATATTAAACTATTTTGCTCCTTTAATGTCTAGGGTATGTTAAACAAATAAAAATTATAATAATGATAATGATAAGCTACAATGTTTTGCAAAAACGTTTAATTTCTCAAAAATATAAAAAATGTTCTCCCGCAAAATACGCCATGTTGCTATACCTAGCTGTTTCTATACGTTGGATTTCTATAAGGTTTGACTTCCTAAAATGTCTATTTTATAAAACCCTATAATTATTCTAATCTACATGGGATTAGTAAACTGAGTTGATTTGCATTGCTTGTTAAAAAATATAAAATTTTTCTGCGCGAAGTAAAAACACAATACTTTTGCCCGTTTTTTGTTTTATTCAAAGTAAGCTTTTATTATTATTATCATTATAATTATTATTATTATTATAATTATTATAATTATCATTATTATTGTTATTATTATTATTTTAGAGTTTGGTTTTGGTGAATTCTGACTGTAGTATAGAGATGAAGGATAGAGTTGAGGGAATAAAAGAATCTGTAATCTCATCTCTTCAGGACTGCTCATCCGTCCTAAGGTAGGCTAGAAGGTCAAGGTGGTCCGCTCATCCGTCCTAAGGTAGGCTAGAAGGTCAAGGTGGTCCGCTCATCCGTCCTAAGGTAGGCTAGATGGTCAAGGTGGTCCGTTCATCCGTCCTAAGGTAGGCTAGAAGGTCAAGGTGGTCCGCTCATCCGTCCTAAGGTAGGCTAGAAGGTCAAGGTGGTCCGCTCATCCGTCCTAAGGTAGGCGAGAAGGTCAAGATGGTCCACTCATCCGTCCTAAGGTAGGCTAGATGGTCAAGGTGGACCGTTCATCCGTCCTAAGGTAGGCTAGAAGGTCAAGGTGGTCCACTCATCCGTCCTAAAGGTAGGCTAGAAGGTCAAGGAGTTTCAGTACATGCGAGGACTCCAACCTTCATCTCATACTTTCCCTTACTTTCCTGCATTTTTCTCTTGATATATGCCACCATAGGAAATGAGTTTTTGTCACAACTTAAATTTTCTACTTCCTATATCTTTGCAACCTGATGGTGTAAACCTTTGATATTTCAAACTTAGACAGAATTCATAGTTTGTGGCAAAAACTCATTTCCTTTATAATTTTATGATTATTTCCCTTTTTCATTTTCCGAATATATTTAAAGGGATTAAACTGAGAGGTTTATTTGAGATGGTTTTCCAAACATCAAAGGAAATCCGATTCTTTTAAACATTTTCAAGCTTTTTCATCCTTTAAATAGTATTTTCTTCCGTTTCCTCACATCCATCCCATCCATCCCATCCATCCATCCATCCCATCCCATCCATCCCATCCATCCCATCCATCCCATCCATCCCATCCATCCCATCCATCCCATTTATCTCATATATTAATTAGATGTGTTGATCCAAGTCTAGCTGTCAATCAACTACTATTACTTCTTCCAAGTCTACGCGAGGCTGATAACCTCCTGAGAATATTCTGGTTAAAAATTAGAAAGGTAAAAATAATCTTATAAGTATAAATAGACAAGCTGACCGACAAGACAATTAAAAACATCAAAGAATATGAAAAACCATGCGTCCAAGGAAAAATGATGATGATATCTTTGTTTTTTCATCTGCAAATTGATTATTTATAACCTGGTGCCGGATTTGTGCAGAAGATATGAAAACAGAAACTGTTAGAATTGTTCGAAAAAGCTTTAAAGGACACTGTTGCGAATTCATATAATCATATAAATAGATCGTTATTTCTAAAGTTTGCATGCATTCCCTTTGAGTTGGTTTGCTATACACCTAGTGGACAGTCGTTCGAAATAACAAAATTTTGAAAATGTTAACACAGACTAAAATGAAATTTGAGATAGATTTTTAAAACCATTTTTTCTCCAAAAATTTGTATAATATTTATGATATGTTGTTTGTAAACTCAAATCTTGTTATCTCTATTTTCTTGCAACCTTTGATATTTCAAACTTACATTATATGATCTAACATTCATAGGTTTAAATATTAAAGGTCTATGACATTGGGTTGCAAAGATATAGGAATTGGAAAACAAGAGTTAGTTGCAAAGACTCAATTCCTTTGGACGCAATATTTGTAATTTTGAAATGTTACGAGTAAGATAATAGTTATTTTTCTAACATTTTTATTCGGAATTAATTAATGTAAATATTTATTACATATTAATCTGAGCTAAGTAAATTTTTTTGACTTACTTTCTTTGGGGTTACCTTGCCGAATTAATCATATCTATTTTTTTACTAATTCATGCCAAAAAATATTTCTTAAAATGTGCTAACCTACAAAGTTTGACAAATGTCCAAAATAAATTTTTGAATTTTTCTTTTTCTTTCATTTATAGTTTTAGATGAAACAGAACGAGACATGTTTCAAATCAATTTAGTTTGTCGAGTAAATGAAAAGTTACAACTTGATTCCATATTTCACTAGCTTCCTTCTAACATTATAATGTTTCAATTTCTGGACAAGGATAAACGTTAAATAATTGTTCTACAGTTGGACAAATAAACTCGTGGAATTGGAAGACGACTCATAGACTCAAGTTATTAATGAACATAAACACAGCAAATGTGCAGTGTTCACAGACCCATTTCACTTCATATTTTTTGCTGTTTAAGGAGGGAAGGGTGCAAATGAACCGACTCCTGGTAGAAATGCTGGAGAGCTGAGGAGCGCTTTCTACGATCTTCGTTATTTCTTCAATTTTTAGATATTTTGATTTGTGATCTTCTGAAACTATGATCTGATCTTATCTTCTAATCTTCTAATCTTCTAATCTTCTAATCTTCTAATCTTCTAATCTTCTATTCTTCTAATCTTCTAATCTACTAATCATCTAATCTTCTAATCTTCTATTCTTCTAATCTTCTAATCTTCTATTCTTCTAATCTTCTAATCTTCTAATCTTCTAATCTTCTAATCTTCTTATCTTCTAATCTTCTAATCTTCTAATCTACTAATCTTCTAATCTTCTAATCTACTAATCTTCTAGTCTTCTAGTCTTCTAATCTTCTAATCTGCTAATCTTTTAATCTTCTTATCTTCTAATCTTCTAGTCTTCTAATCTTCTAATCTTCTAATCTTCTAATCTTCTAATCTTCTAATCTTTTAATCTTCTAATCTTCTCATCTTCTAGTCTTCTAATCGTCTAATCTCTTTATCTTCTAATCTTCTAGTCTTCTAATCTTCTAATCTTCTAATCTTCTAATCTTCTAATCTTCTAATCTTCTAATCTTCTAATCTTCTAGTCTTCTAATCTTCTAGTATTCTAGACTTCTAATCTTCTAGTCTTCTAATCTTCTAATCTTCTAATCTTTTAACCTTCTAATCTTCTAATCTTCTAATCTTCTAATCATCTCAATTTTTCAACTTCTGATCTTCTAATCTTCTATTCTTCTATTCTTCTATTCCTCTATTCTTCTTATCTTCTAATCTTCTAGTCTTCTAATTTTCTAATCTTCTATTCTTCTAATCTTCTAATCTGATCTTCTCAACTTCTAAACTTCTGATCTTCTATTTTTCTATTTTTCTAATCTTCTAGTCTCCTAATTTTCTAATCTTCTATTATTCTAATCATCTAATCTTCTAATATTCTAATCTTCTCAACTTCTAAACTTTTGATCTGCTATTCTTCTAATATTCTAATTTTCTAATCTTCTATTCTTCTAATCTTCTAATCTAATCTTCTCAACTTCTAATCTTCTCAACTTCTAAACTTCTGATCTTCTATTATTCTAATCTTCTAATCTTCTAATATTCTAATCTTCTCAACTTCTAAAACTTCTGATCTTCTATTCTTCTATTTTTCTAATCTTCTATTCTTCTAATCTTCTAATCTAATCTTCTAATATTCTAATCTTCTCAACTTCTAAACTTCTGATCTTCTATTCTTCTATTTTTCTAATCTTCTAATCTTCTAGTCTTCTCAACCTCTAAACTTCTGATCGTCTAATCTTTTAATCTTCTAATCTTTTGATACTCAAAGATATATTTAAATCATTTGATCTGATGGTTTTGTTGGAAATTCATATTTTCCCGCATTTTTTAGCTTATTGTTATGAAACTACATGTTTTCTATTGTTGATTTGAAATTTGTTTATTGTTGAAATCTTCCAAATTTTATAAAATTTTATGAAATGAATACCTCAAATAAAACCCGCTATCCCAGTGTAAACATGACAAGTTGATAAAAAAAACCGTCTCGTAGTGAAATTTAGACAAGAGCACTAGTATTTTTAGAATTCTATTCGGATGCAAAATTTGAAGATTAATAATCTTATTGTAAATTATGTTTTGCTTCATTAACTGTACAAATATGAACGCCAAAAAATGTGAGGAGTTAAAGAATAATGTAAACAATATTTTTGCTGCTTTATGTGCTTTATGAAATAAAGTGTTCAAAATGTTTTCATGAGAATTTAATGACAACTTCTAGAATCAAATGATCTGAAGATTGAACTTCGGTGTTTAGAGAAATATACTGCGGAAAAGAAAGTCAATTGTTATACTCAAGTTTAATTTGAACTTAAAAATATACAATTGGACCCCGCACTCAGTAGGATAAAAGTTTACCACCAAGCTAAATTGTAATAATTGATCGTTTCGTTAGAAATTTTCAAGCTACGAATTCCTCGCCTACCTATAGTCAGTGAAATCGCAGCTTAATGACAGCTAGAGAATGTTTAACGAACCGGATTTCCGCTTGTATACAGAGCGTCCCAAATCATATTAGATTAGCTCCAATCTTTAACGCTAAAATACGCACATAATACTCGAAAAATCTAGCACTTTCTGCAAAAAAATTTATATTAACCCTATTAAATTTTTCAAAATGATTCATTCTTCTAAATTTTTTTTGATTTGTCCCCCAAATCTAGTTTGATGTGGGACACCCTGTACATCAGTTACAGGGTGTCCCACGAAACATGACAGTTAGTGAATGTGTCAAGTTGTTTGTTGCCAAAGAGAATAATAATAAATATTTTATGGCATTCATATTATGATAAAAATTATTTCTAATTAAAATATATTTAAGTTAAGTTTTTTAAAACTAAATAAACTGCAAAAGGTATTAATTAATATCTAATACAGCACATGGAAGAAGACATTCAAAACTATTTACCAACTGGCATGTTTCGTGGGACACCCTGTATACAAAAGATTTCCCAATGTCGTCTTCCCACTATATTTAATGATTTATCATTCTTAAAGATTTCGTCATTTTCATGTTTCATAAACTTAAATGACAATTTCATAAATGAAAGTTTCCTGGTTTGAATTATTAAGAAGAATTTAAAAAGTCAGAAAGCAAATATTCTTTTGTTACAAAGTTTGAGTGGAAAAAAACAAGAATAAAAATGATATTTTCAACGTACCGATGGTTTTAAAAACAGGTGTTTTTTATTTTCGATTTTCTACTTGAATAAAAATATTAGAAATTTACAAAACTTCGGTTAAATAAATTAAAATGAAGCATGGACGAATTTCTTAAAACAGACAGACTACCATAGAAGTGGGCCTCCATTTTGTTGTTCAAGCGATTTAGTTGAATTAGATTAATTAATTATTAGATGTGCCGCGAATAACGAAGACGATTCAGGAGGCGTGTCTTGCTTTCCATGTTTTTCAAGACACATTTTAAAAATATTCGTTTAACCGAAAATCTATGGAATATGAAGATGCAATTTAAGAAATCGAGTATTAAATCATTGATAAAAAGCAAATATCAGAAGCTTGAAAAGCGTCGTTTATTTGTCATTTATTTTTGATTTTTCCAACTCAAGTTAAATGTATACGTTTTGGAAAAAAACTGTCTGATAAAGCAGAAGGAAAAAATGAAATCATAAGTGATATTAAAACAGGGAATAGGAATAAAGGTAAGGTAAATGGCGCTGGTCTGGCATGAGAAAGCTAGTCGCACTGCTTTGCAGTTGTGGACGAGTTCGGTATTACACACGCACACTCTTTTGGTACAGACACACAACATGACTACAGTCAAGGAAATTGCAGAACAATGTTGTCAANTTTTACTATTTTGAAACGTGTTTACTGCACGAGTTGCTTTGTTTGACGATTTTTAAGCTTTTACTATTTGAACCGTATTCACTGCACGAGTTGTTCTGTTTGCCGGCAATCTCAGAGAAAATTATTGGGTTTGGGTTTTAGAGCATGTTTGCTCAAAGACCGACATTATAATGGATTATAGTGTAAGGTTTATGGTTTATACCTTATTCCCTTTGTTCGGCTCACAACTATATCTTTAGGCCATAATCTCTTAATATCCTTTATTAGTAAACTATACTAAGTTTACACACGGAGAGGTAGCTAAGATCCAGCCCCCCTGTTTTGCGTACATAAACTAGCGATGTTTAATTATCTATTGTCTTTTCCTAATAATTCCCATATTTCTAGAGAAACCCTATATATGTTTTGTTTTTCTTTAGGGAAGATATAAACTATTGTATTTTAGCTACCTTAAGCCCAGGAAAGGTTTAGACAAATTTATATCTTTATATGATTTGACTGAAATTTTTGTTGGGGAACTCTGTAGAACCACGGGAATTTTCTTAGATTTAGTTTAAAAGTTCTCGACTCTTATAAAGAAAACTTTAGGCAAAGCTGGGTTCCCAAGCTAGTTCAGTATGTAAAGGATAGTTTGTATTCTGATTGTATGTCCTATCATTACTCATGAACCCCTTGATCATATTGTCTCAAACTGGGGAACTGGGTAAAACCGCGGAAATGTTCTTAGCTTTAAAACGATATAAACGACTTTAATTAACATCACATAATATTTCATAATTAATCTCCGTGAACAGTATAGCGCATTTAGCACTTTTTTTTAACAGCTGTTTTCAGGATTTGAAGTAAATTTTTATTGTTTAAGCGTTGGCTTTGTGCTCGATAATATACCAACTTCTTATTATATCCATAGCTTGTTTTTGTGTTTAAACAAATATACATCCAAAATGGACGACATGTACGCGAAGCGCCAAACAAATTCTGTTCTTTTAATGCCTTTTCATGTATTTTTTTTTATTTTAGTGCATGATAGTCCCTGGCTTAGTCATACTTACTGTATACTATTACATTCTACAGTAGTATTTTGAAATATATTCACTAGTCATATTTGTCCTTTTATATGAACTATAAAGTCCCTTAACCGTAGGTCTGTGCAGTCCTAAGTATTAAGTAGTTCCTGGCAGTACTTGACTATATTTGGTCTGTCCATAATCCATTCTAGTCTCTCTGATTGAAGTCCCTCTGTCCTTGTTTGCAAGTAAGGGACTTTGTTGAAATAAAACGTCGCACAGGACTTTATTCAGCAAATTTTAGCATCGATGTAGAAAAGTTAAAACCTGCAAAAAAATACAATAAATTACATAGTAAGGATAAAAGAAAAATAATTGAATATGAAGAAGTTTGTTTAAACTGCGTTGATACAACAATGAAGGACATTTTCTTAATATTTTATTCCTGATAATAGTTAGAAATTCTATTAGATATTATGCGGGGAAGCTTCAAAGAAAAATTTGGAATTTTTTTCTCTATTGACAAAATTTGCAGATAAAAGAGGTCCACAATCATGATCATGCTGGAGCCAAGTGAGAGGGGGCGAAATATGCCAAGTTTCCCCCCCCCCCTCTAGTTGCTCCACTGTCCGTGGAGAAATGGCAGGCCTAGAAAAGCAAATTACATTTACTCTCTTTTCCAGCTTCTATTGTCCAAATAAACATTCGTTCA